TCTCGCGCAAGGGATTTTCTGTCTTCTGGGTGCTGGGGGGGGGCAACAGTGGGAGGGCTTCTAATGTCCTGGCCCCACTGGTGGACCTCCTGATGGCACCTGGTATTTTTGGTCCCTGTGTGACACAGGGTGTTGGACTGGATGGGCCGTTGGCCTGATCCAACATTGGCTTCTTCTTATTGGCTGCCAGCCTGGGAGCTCCCAAGCAGCTTTCTGCAGCCTGTCACCAGGGGCCAGCCCGTTCTGGGAAAGACCGGAGGGCTGCACGTTTCTATTTGGTCCCCAGCTCAGGTTGACAAGGAAGGGTCTGAAGGCACGCCGGGCATTCAGGAGCTCCACGCTCCTACCTCATGCGTTTGAATTTTTGTTCTGTTGCGGCTGGCCATTCTCTGCTATATCCACACGGGACCACTGGCTAACAGGACCAGGCAGAAATTTTACCCAAGGCTCTGATTGGCTGATAGGTCTTGGGGCTTTCCCCTTCCCCATAGCAAAGGGTAAATACTGTGCATGTTTGACTGTACTGCTAATAAGAGTGTAAATGTCACAACTGGCTACTGGAGTTTAATGCAGGTTGTGCAGGGTGGGCTCCCTGTAGGGTTGCCAGGTCTGGGTTGGAAAATGCCTGGAAACGTTGGGCCCCCAGGGGGAACCCCACCCCCAAAACGAGTCACACGGAAGTGACGCAAGCACGTCGGGGATGTTGGGGGCGGGGCCACAATCATCCGAGGGAAACTCTATGGTTTTCCCTCGGATGATTGTGGCCTCGGCGGCGCGCACGCACGAAGACTCCCGGAGCAAGGCTGGACTCCCCCGCTCCGGAACAGGTAAGCACTTGGCAACCCTATGATGTTCCCAGTATACTAACAGAAGTCATTCGTAATGGACATTTTTCAGGCCTTAAAAAGTATTCTATTTAACTCAAAAGACTATTTGCTGTATTTGACTACTACACCACAATCCAATAAAAAGTACCATGTGAATGTTATCTACAGTTTTCAGCAAACACAGAATAAAATTATGCTAGCTGAATTTTGAAATTTGTTTTGACTTTTTGAAAGGAGTAAGACCTTTTTAAAAGAATGTTAATTCTGACTGCTAAAGAATAAAATATTAATCTTTGGGGAATATTTCTGAAAAACAAACTCATATCTGTATCAGAAACAACGACCAATTAGAATGCCAGATTTGTCAAAATGATTCTGCTACATGTATAGCTTGACCCACAACCCAATATAGCCAAAATACGTGAACAACAAACTTAAGTCCAAGCATTATGGCTTTTAAAAACCAGGCTGCAATTTGAAACTTCAAGCATTTTTTAAAAATTCCCACAAATATTACTCCTTCATTATCAATTTAAAGAGTCAGAAGTTGTTTCTCAAAATGATATATGATGTTCCCCCTTGTACTGCGGCTGCCCTTCATTGCCGGCACATTTCATGAGGGACGTGGCAATAGTTCTTGTCTGCGTTAATAATTCTTTGTCACTTCAGATGTGCAATGGACAAAATAATAAAAAAATAAAGATAATAAAAACATTTAACAATGTAAAAGTTGGGATAAAGGAGAAAAGAAAAAGAAAAAGAGGAAAAATGATGTCAATAAAAGAATACTCATGCCACTACCACTTCAATACAGAATTATGTTTCTTGTCAAGTAGATTGAAAAGAAAAACAATGGAGAGACGTGTCAACAGCCACACGATGGGCCTCTGTCAGCTGACATTTTATATTTTGCAATTCAGAAAACTAACGAGGCATGTAAACCACCACTCTGGCATATCCTCTGCGATTTCAGGTGTTGTGCACTGCACACAATGTTACATTTATATATTCAGTTGGTATCACATTTCATTTGTTAATACAGACTGCAGAATTCAGAGAGGGACTTTATCTGCATCGAGGTCTCGTACACACGTTAAGACCTCCTTCCTTTGAACGGGCGAAAACAATGCCACAAATCGTTTTGGGGACTCTCCTCAGTTTCAAATGCACATTCTATGAGGTGGGGGAGGGGGACGCTCCTTTTCAAGGAACATGAGTCTAAATACAGCTGAGCTCATGGAGCTCTCTGCACAATTCACTGGATTGGCTCCAAAGGAGCCCTCCCAAAAGTAGGAAGGACCTTCCACTCACACAAGGGGGCGGGGTAGGGTGGGAGGGTCTGTGATTCCACTGACTGAGATACAGCCCCCCCCCCCATGCTACATCCCATGTTTTTTCCAAGGATTTCCTGACCACCCTTTTTTTAAGGGGTTCTGGAAGCGATGGAGGACCAGGGGAGGCTGGAGGATCCATTCTATGGGCAGAGCTCCTGCCTCCAGTTCTTATGATCCAGCCCTTGGCTCTACTATTTAAATCAAATAATATTTACAAGTTATTTTTACTCCAGCAGAAATTCTGGGGCTCTCCAGAATTTCTAAGCATTCATGCTTAGCTTTAAGTATATAAGCATAGACCCACCAGATCAGACCAGTTGCGTTGTAGCTAGTCCAGTATCCTGTTTCACGCAGTGGCCAACCAATTGCCCTGGAGGTCCAAACAAACAGGGCAAAGAGGCCAAGACCTTCCCCTGATGTTTACTGCCTCTGAATGTGGAGGTTCCCTTAACTCACCATGGCTAGTAGCCATCGATGAACCTCTCCTCCATGATTCTAACCCCCTTTTAGCCATCTATACCATCACTATGTTTACTGGCAGTGAACTGCACAATTTAAATACTTGTTGAGTAAAGAATTATTTCCTTTTGTCTCTCCTGTACCTATTGCCCATCAATATCATTGGGTGCCCTCAAGTTCTAGTATTATGGGAAAACTCCCTTTATCCACTTTCGTGACACCATGCATGACTTTATAAACCTCTACCATGCCCCCTCCCCAGCTGCCGTTTCTCTAGACTGAAAAGTCCCAGACTCTCTTCAGCCTTTCCTCATAGCAAAGGTGCTCCAACCCTTGGATCATCTTGGTTGCTTTCTTCTGTACTTCTTCCAGCTCTGCAATATCCTTTATGAGATATTAGCAACCAGAAGAAATTAGGTTTACTTTGGTTGATTGGGGGTTCACTGAATAGTGGTAATGTGCAAAACAAAAACCAGGAAACAAAGTGGTTCCTGATTGACTGGCAAGGAGCCTCGTGCTGCTTCCACACCAAAGTTTTTCTCCACCTCGGCTTCTAAACTGGAGTGTTTTTTTCCCTGACATGACACCACGCTGCAACTGTTTTCTTTCCAGGTTTTCTCCATTCTCAATGTGCTCTTTGCCAAAAACTGCCTTATTCTGATCTTTTTGAAAACGAACACTGGCTCAGCACATTTATTGTGCTATCTGAAAGGAATGGTGCACAGTCTGGCTCATACCGGCACCATTTTCCCGCCATGTTTTGCCCACTGCACCAAAGAAGGGCTTTTTGCAGTCCTTTTGGTTTCATCAGTAATTGATATTACACTATAGCGCTATTATATATTTCCATTTGCAATTTCAGTTCCTCTGAATTCCCAGTTCCGATTTTTTTTTAAATGAAATCTCCTGGTCTTTTTATTGAGGAGATATAACAGTAAAGGTGCAGACAGTTTTTGTCCAGGTTACCTGGAAAACAATGGAGACAGGAAGCTGCAAGATGGCTGGAGTACAGTGGGAATTTCCACCATGCAGCAATTTATCCAAATACTAGATAAAAGAAATGAAAAGGGCAGAGCTACACTTCACATGGAGGGATGGTATTTGTATGTCCACGGTGGTGGTGGTAAGCGCTGTCAAGTTGTGGCTGACTTATGGCAACCCCATAGGGTTTTCAAGGCAAAAGACGTTAGAGGTGGTCTGTCACTGCCTGCCTCCGTGTCATGAACCTGGACTTCCCATCCAAATACTAACCAGGGCTGATCCTGCTTAGCTTTTGAGATCTGATGAGATCTGGCTAGCCTGGGCCATTCAGGTCACAGCTGTATGTCCATTTTGCACTATAGTATTAGTGCATGAGTGAAGGGAAAAATGGTGGTGATGGCAAATCACCATGGCATCCATGATGACCATGCTCCCCAAAAGCCGGTGTGGAGTTGTAGCAGAGCATGCACGGAAAAACTGAAAAAAGATGGAGGAAAATTTGCTAGAAACTCCCCTCTAGGAGCTCTGTTGGCAACATGCACACGGCTGCACTTGCAGCAACAGTTAAAGCAAAAGTGGAGAATCCTTGCCATGTGGAAGCAGCCTCAAAGATAAATGTAGAGTTTCAGGAACAGGCAATAAAGCAAGGAGATATGAAAGTTGAAAAGCCTGAATTGTGATTGTATTCAGCCTTCTCTTGCACGTATCACATTTAAGCATTTTTTAAAAGTCAGCAGAAACACGTATTCTGGTCCTTCTTCAAAATTACATCATGCTTGATGGTAATATGGTAAGTGAAAGAAAGGAAGAAAAATGAAGAAGAAGAAGAAGAAGAAGCAAAATAAAACAAGATGTTGCACCTTTGTTCCAGTTGCTTCATAGTTGCAGTGATCTGACTAGTCTTATTCTCCAGACGACCAATTATTTCATTCTTCTCTTTCAGGGCATCATCAGATCCCTATTATTAGAGGGATTAATGGATATTTATTAGAAGAATATTATATCTCTCTTCAATCTTGATGTATATTAGCCTGCATAACAAAGTTTCCGGATGAGCCTCTAGCACACTGCTGGTACTATATCCATGTTCAGGAAATAAGACAGTAGCTATTAGTCCACATGCATCCTATAACCCAGATTATCAGAAGGAGGGAGGGCAAGAATGAACTGCTCAAGGGGCAGGGAGACAAAAATCAGTACTCTGCCAGCTTACTGAGTCCATCCCACCTACAGCCATGTATACTTTCATTAATCTTGCCAGTTGTTGACAGAACTTTTACCTGCAACTTTTGGTACATCTCTATATTGATTGCTTTGACTTCCTCCAATTGTTGCCGCAGACTTATAAGGGTATCTTGTTTTTCATGTATATCTTTCTCCAGCAGCTTCATGGCAAGTTCTATCTCATGCTTCATACCAACTTGGACCATCAGCTCATTCTCTATATCCTACAAGATGCAAAATAAATACATTTCACTCAGCATAAAGACTGTCAAAGAGTGATTGTTACACTCAGTCAGTCTGGATGCATTCAGAGGTACCATTTCACAGTTAAGAAGCTATATGGGATTCTCTGAACTGCCTGCACGTTCCTCCCAAACAACAGTGAGCTGATACCGGTACACTTACGTAAAAGCAAAGTTATTTTCTCACCCAAACCTGTTTGTACTGTCATTCAGTGCAAATTGTTCAAAAGAATTTTGTCATGGAGATGTGGTGGTAATGCCATACCAACATTACTTACCCACCCTACCCACTTTTCTAGGCTCAAATCCCATCCTTCCACCATAGATTGCATAGATTGCATAGATACCACAATTACTGCCTGCAGTCCTTGAAATCTTCTCCCTATCCTTGCTCCTGTGTCCAAGTCTCACAGTCTCAGCCTGTGACTACCATGGTCCTGAAGCTGGGGGGGTCTGAAGCCGCTTCTGCAAACAGCTATCCTTTCGATAGGCGGACACGCAAGGAAAGATGGGTAGTTCATGCGCAGCACTCAGTCATCTCCACAGGTCACTTGCAATGTTCCCTCTAAGCTGTGGAATCTTGTGAGCAAAAATTCTTCTTTGTGAGCTGCTGGCATCAAAGTTGTGAGGGAGCGATTTGGCTGCTGCATAAATTAGTGTGCTCTGGAGCCACCCTTCCTGAGCTAAGACAAAATTGTGTGAGCCGGAGGCTAAAAAACTGTGAGCTAGCTCACACTAACTCAGCTTAGAGGGAACACTTGGGCAAGAAACCCCCGTCAGTAGATACACAGCCCACCAACAAATAATGCCCCCCGAGCCATTTCCAGTCAGGAATACAGCATGGGGGGAGGCTAAAGACCATCCCCACTCTCTCTCTCTCTCTCTCTCTCACACACACACACAATCACAGTGGTTCTGCCAGGAATCAGGGCCCTGTCAGTGTTTGGGAAACGAGTTCCCTTGCAGCTGATGTGTGATTGTTAGAGTCAGTTCGGGGAAACACAGACACAACGCAATAAAATGCATAACATGTAATTTGGGCCAAAGTCACCCGGCATGCTTGAGTTGTGGCCCCATGCTGTGTAAGCTATCATGTGAGGTATGGGTGTCCTCACAGCAGTATATATAATGCTTAGATGCGCTGTGATCGTTTGCAGACTTGGCTGGAAATCTAAGAGGCACCATGGCTGTGTAGGAGCGGTGAGAAGCCTATGGGGTGATTTGTTTACACTACCACTGACTTTAGGCGGGAGTGCCCCCTCTTTCATTGGTGTAGCATAATGTTGACAGAGGGGGGATTAGGATGCTGATAAAGTTCTGTTCCTCCCCCAGAACAGCTCCAGGGTCACTGGTTTCTGGCACCCTATACTGGCAGCAGGTTAGACAAGGTGTTGGCAGGACACGAAACCAGTATATCCACTTTAAATTGAGGTAGGGTCTATAGTTGCCATCCTAAGCAGCACCAAAGAGGCTTTAAGATTACATCCTAAAAACAAAAGTCAGTATATCTGGCATACACTCACTTGTCGCAACTGTGATTCTTCCCGAAGTTGTCTGTGTGCTTCATTGTACATTTCATCCAGGCTCTGTCTGGAGTGCTTGTATGTCTGGAGTTCTGCTTCAGCATCCACTTTGTTCACCTGTGAAGAAAGCAATGTACTCTCACTTAAATCTTGTACTTTAGCCCAGTGGTCTTCGGTCCATGGGCTGGGACCCCCTGGTGGGCTGCAGAGCTCCACCTCCTGGGTCATGGGGTCCTAAAAAGCTGCCATGTTATAGTAGCTTTTTGGAAGGATTTGCTGCTAGTGCATCTGGGTCAACAGCCAGAAGACCAAAGGCTCCTGGCCTCTCTTTGAAGGTGTGGTGGAAAGAAACAGCAGGAGAATGAGGTGAGGACACTCAGAGACGGAGAAAACTTTTCCTTACCATAGACAAGTTCAGAGAATCCCCCCCCTACAAAAGCTTTACCTTGCCTTCTTTTTCTTCCCTTGTCCCCCTGCTCCCCTCCAAGACTCCATTGTGCACTTGCAGCACAGAGTTTCCCTCCTCGCTGATGGAGTCATCATAACTCTATTCCCATCATCCCCTCTCATGTGACTCTGTTATCATGTGACTTCTTGGGATCTAGCTGCTGCCTGGGCATTGAAAGTGGGTCCCAGTTTTGGAAAGGATGAAGACCACTGCCTTCACCAGTTAAAAAAGGGAGGCCTCTCTCTCTAGAGAAATAGAAAGAAAGCACTTTTCTAACCTTTTCCGTTTGCTCAGACAGTAGCAGGAAGGCAAAAATGCCATACAAGGGCACTCTTCTGAACCAACACATGAAGCTGTGTGTGCATGCTGACAGTCAGTAAGGCAATACACACCAAAACTACTTTTCCACATGGGCTCCATTATCTCTATTTTGGTTTTCTTCATGTTCCCAGACAACAGCATGTACTGAAAGGCAAATCCTCTCTCTTGGTTTTGTTTTCTTACTTCTGGGAAGTTGATTTCTTGGCATGAACATGCTCACTGCAAGATCCTCTTTAACTATAATATAAAACTGCTTTAAAGGGGGCAGATATACCCCCGACTATTTTAACTGATCATTTTCACCAATTGAGCCGTCTGTTTGGATGTTTCCTATTTCATCCAGCTGTTCCCAAGGTGGTGAAAAAGTAACACAGCTCCTGTTGGGAGAAAGAATGAGCTCTCCTCTCATCCTCACCTAAGTGAATACCAGATTATTTGGGTCATATCACACATTAGGTAAAGGTTCCCCTTGCTCGAAAGCCAGTCGAATCCGACTCTAGGGATATGGTGCTCATCTCTGTTTCCAAGCCGAAGAGCCAGCGCTATCCAAAGACATTTCCGTGGTCATGTGGCCGGCATGAGTAGCCGCTGAGGTGCACGGAACGCTGTTACCTTCCCACCGAAGTGGTATCTATTTATCTACTTGCAATTTCTTGCTTTCAAACTGCTAGGTTGGCAGGAGTATCACACATTACACAGCAACAAACTCAAGTCTACCATTAATAGTATAATTGGTAGGAAGTTGAAGTCAACTTTGGCACAACAGGTGATGTGAAAGACCTCTACCCAAGACCCTGAGCAGCTGCTGCAAGTCACGGAAGACAATGCTGACCCTGAAACACCGATGACCTGATTCAATATAAGACAGGTTCATGTATTCAGTATCACCCTTCCCCCTTTATAGTTTGGAAACTACCATATTCATTAAGATTTATTAATGAACAGTCTAGTAGACTTGATAGCAGGCTTTAAAACGAAGCAACTCATAAGACAATATTTTCCAGACAAAATGCATTTAAACAATTGTTTTCTAAAATCTTCATCACAAAACTTTTACTTCTATGTGCCAGGTTTCTTTGAAACACAAGCCACACCCCATTTTTTACATTTGCTTATTTACACTATTTTCAGTCTGAGGGTGATTTGGCAGCTGCATCCATCACCCCATTTGGTGGTGGAAGGTATCGTTAAGTAACAGCTGACTTATGGCAACCCTGTTGGTTTTTCAAGGCAAGAGACACTCAGAGGTGATTTGCCATTGCCTGCCTCTGCGTAGCAACCCCAAAATAAAATTATACATTGGTAAATAAACAGTAACCAGGCATCACTCCATTTACAGTAGTCAAACCATAATAACTGGACTCTTAATACCTCTAGATGCCGCTGTGTTTTCATTAAAATGAGTGTATTCTCGCTTCTTAAGTGATGGTTTTCTTCTTGAAGTTTGATGATGTTATTTTTGGCTATTGCTAACTAAGAAAGAGGCAGAACAAACAAAAAAGGAAAGTTAAAAACATTTAGAGGAATGCGTTAAAAACAGTTATTCTGAGGTATAAGACGACACAGATAGAACTGGTCTCCTAGAAGATGTTTAGGTGCTCCATGTATGAACATGTTTAACAACAAAGACTTAATCCTTGTATTTGTCAGTAGTATGCTATGGAAAGTGGGTTAAACAAAAAGAAAACAATTTTAGATGTCCATGTTTGTAAATAAGGTTCAGCATAAAGCACTCTCAGAAGACACAGCTCTAAAAGAACATTCCAAGTACTGCTGCTGTATAATAACCAAGCATAAAATCTCTGGGTAAACGGACTACCAGAATGGAGAATTGCTTAAAGGAACTTTAATATGAACAGCAATTAAAAACATCTTGTACAGCAATCTCTGAGACCCCTGCTCTCGAACTAAGATCACGTTATTACAGGACAAGTTCACAAACCCCCAATTCTTTAACAATGTAAAATATAAGTGTATGCCTCTGAACTGTAGATTCTATTACTATACTACACATTTCAAGGAAGATGTTCTGCACAAGCCCCTCCCCCCAATTAAATTTAAAGATATTCTGAGAGAGGAAGTAGCTGGTGGCCTGTACACATTATCATCTCCATTTCATACCGTAGTTATATCTAACTTAAATGACTATTTTGCAAAATCAATACACATAGTTAACAAGATCAGAATTCTACTGGAGATTTGAACATGTGGGGGACCAGACACAGATTTTATCCTCACCGGATTTTCAGTAATCCACAAGGCACCATATGGAAAGGGTTACAGGCAAATTGGCTTTTCTGAAATTAAAACCACTCTTTCAAAATAAAATTATACATTGGTAAAAGGCAGTTACCTCTTCGATTAGCTTAGTGTTTGACTTCTCTAATGAATCGACACGTGAGTGGAGGCTGCTGACTGTGCTACTGAAAACGACAAAAAGAAACCCTCATTAAAAATTATGTCCCCTATTGAAGAAGTGCTATGCCACTTACAGAACTTGCTGGCACCTGAGTTCAATGGGGCTAGGGCAGTGTCTGGTAAATCTGGGCTAATCAGGTTTCCCAGATGTACATACACTTGTATTTAAAGATGTGACTATATCTAATGTCAATACATTACGTATTTGCTGCAGAAAAACAACATCTTGTACGACGGCATTAAGCTTCAGGCAATGCAAACAAGGGGTTTCCCCCTCATCATGTTCATCGGAACCTAATTAGACAGTCTTAATCAGATAGATTGTATGCCAAACTCCTCATAGTACAAGGTAGGATAAAGTGTGCCTTCGAATCGCATCCTATTGTCAGCAAGCTGCCAATGTGTCTTTCCTATGTGTATTCTCTATGCCCTACCCCCCCCCCCATTGCCATGGTGAATATAATCAGCTCGTGTGCGCATGTCTACCCTCACTCTCATGCGCTCATCTTCTCCTAGGCTGCATTCCTTTCTATGTACGCTAGTCTTGCTTTGAAGAACCTTATCAGTACAAGGCCACAGGTGGTGAGCGGCAAGAGGCTTATTGCTTAGTCTGTAATGAACATGTAGTATGGGAATAGTCTAATTGTTTAACTGTATGGAACCGTTGCTTCTCAGGGTTTGGGCACGCGATGAGCCTTCTGAGCGGGAGCGGGAAACATATCTATTGGCTAGTGTGATTATGAATCTGCTTTAACCTATCTGTCAAACGCACGTCTCGTTATTCTGAACAGAGAATCTGTTCTAAGTACTTCATGGCTTCAATAAAGTAAAGCCTTCCTGCAAGTGTGTACTTCATTGCCTGCTGTGGGGTCTGACACCTATTCATGGTGACCCCTTTTGGGGGTTTTAAAGGCAAGAGATGAACAGAGGTGGCTTGCGTGACAGTGCCTTCCCCTGCAGAGCCATCCTGGCCATCCTCGGTGGTCTCCCATCCAAGCACTGGCCCTTCTTAGGTTCCCAGCTGGGACGAGATCAGGCTTGCCTCGGCTGCTGGACCTGCCACCCCTTCCTCGTACCCTCAGGTTCAGAAGAGAGAAGGGGTGCCTTTCCCACGGTGAAATCCCTTCCAGCGTCACCCTTCCCAAGAGCCAGCCATTAAAAGGAGCCAAAGCAAGAATGAAAATGTCAGAGTCTGGTTCTGTAGTGGAAAAGGCATCATTTTACAAGGAGAATTATATTTTTTAAAGTGAGGATACCTCTTCTATAGACTTTAACACACCACTGGATATATACTTACTTCAGCTGTCGGTTTAATTCTTCAACGTAATTCTTTTGATCCAATATAGCAGCAATATGGTCATTTCTATTAAAAAAAGAGTTGAAAGCCTATTTAATCAGACATTTATTCGAGCCCTTGAAACTGCAGCACAGGAGTGTTTATTTAAAGACTCAGAGTCCAGTGGGGCACCCTTAAGACCAACAAAGGTTGATTCAAGGTATGAGCTTTCGTGTGCAAGGCACACTTGATCTGGGTCTATTTAAAGACTGTACTTTAAAGTTCTACTACCAGATAGTTATAATCCAAATCATTGCATAGTTTTAAAAAATTGGGGTACAGGTTCAGGCACAGAATAGCTTTGTTTTACAAAAGCAGAATGAAACGGTTGACCAACTGACCCTTTCCAACAGGCACCCCAAAAGAACTGGGGGGGGGGTTGGAATGGGTGGATATGGGGTGGTTCCACTAAAAATGGTTAACAGATTCCTAATATGCAACAGCACCAGACTGAGCTAGATATTTCATCTCTGCTGCTACTCAGTGGTGGGCTCAGGGTAACGGGACCTCAGAATCACTCTCCCCACACACCTAGCTGTTGTCACCGGGATCCAAGCAAGGGGTCCTCCTTGCCTTCATATGAGGCAGGTGGAAGCTACCCCCAGAAGTTGGCTGCCTGAGCCTTAGATGGGCCAGGACCCAGTAACCGCTGCTGCTGACCTGGATGGTCACGGGTAACAAGGCTGTGGGCAAGAAACCCCCCCCCCCAATGGAGCCAGGGTAACTTCCTCTGTTGCCCATTGGTTACAACTGCCCTCGCTACTACTATTTTGTGATCTGAACAATTCTTTTTACTCCCAGTCCCTCTGACTTTTCCCCCTGCAAAGCCTAGCAGAAACAAGCATTCTCCTTTACTAAGCTTTAAATGGATCCGTTTGTTAAAAGTGTTAAAAACACTGGATTTTTTTAAACAAGCAATTCAGTTCAGCATACTACAAATTCCAGTGTAACACACCTTTCTTTGCTTTCAGTATCATCTTCATTCTTCAAATACATAGAGAAATCAATCACACCAACCTGAGAAGAAATAGGTTTATTCACACTTTGGAAAAGAAAGGAAGAAAGGGTATGATCTTCATTCTTTCGACAGTACTGGAAATTTAATCAGTGGACTGCGAAATTCCACATTATGAATAACAACTGTGTTACTAATAATGTAA